TCGTGAAATTAGGCACTTTACTGCAACTCACTTTATCTTTTCCTTTACCTTTTTGAAACGATGGTGAAACAAGAGAGATTGCCATAACAAAGATTTTCTCGTAAAACGGTCACGTTTTCTTCCAGCCTCAAGGGAAATTGTCAACTCGTGAATCTTCATGAATGTCACAGAACGTGAAAAACTACTATTAAACAATTAACTCGCAGAATGTTAATCATGTTTAACACATGATTATTTTATTATTATTATTTTATTATCATTTTTAGTAACACGTTAACGTATACATATATATCTTGATTATTCGCAGAAAACACGCAACGTTCTCATAAAAATCCATCATCGGAGGATTTTTCCTTTTGTTTCCTTTTTTTTTTATAAAAAATTCATTCGCTCGTCATTTACCGTATAAAGTATAAAAAAACGCATTGGTTAATGAATTTTTTTTTCTTTTTTTGTAGACGTTCGTCGTGTTAACATTTAATATTCAAATACCGTAAGAGATAAAACTTTAATGAAATAGTATACCATTATAAATTATATACTTTTATTAATTTTTTTCGAAGTTCAGTAATGTTTTATTTTTTTCCCTTTTCATTTAATTATTAACCGGGAGAAAAAAATTTTTAAATTATATTTTTGAATTTACATATTTTTATTTGTAAAACTCGTATAAATTATTAATGTAACTATGAATTTTCTTTGACAAGTTACGGCCAAACAGGTTCTCTTCTTTCCTAGAATCTCTTCTCTGGGTATTATATTTTATGGGAACCACGTAGAGTATGAGAAATCAACTAATTAAAGGGTGGAACTTTGCTCGAAGTATCAACCCCTCTTCTCTCTCTCTCTCTCTCTCTCTCTCTCTCTCTCTTTCTCTGTCTCTCTCACCCTCTTTTGGTGACGTAGAGATAGGCTAGTTCGTTGACTGTATACAAAGCAGCTGTTATAGTGTTAGTGTTGTTGGTACTATCTATAACAGAAATTAATGGTATTGCGATATTGATCAAAGAGAAAGAGAGAAGAGAACTAACTTCGAGTTACTTTACGACACCATAGGGCTTGTTTAGTACGTTAACAATGGCTTTAGTAAAGTCTTAGATAGTTTATTTGATTTTTAACATCCCAAAAGAAACTTTATTTTTGATATTTTTCTTCTATATTCAATTGGAATAAAATTATTAACATGAATCATTGAAAAATAAATTGCTTTAGGATTCACACACACACACACACACACACACACAAATATTTTTGTTTCTTTTATGTAAAAATAAATTTATATCGTAACAATGTTATAAAATCGAACCGAAATGAAAATAAAATTTCTTGAAATTCCCTTGAGGTTAAGAAAACGAAAAAAAAAATGATTAAAAGAAGAAAAAAATAAATAAAGAAAGAAAGGAAAGAAATCAGTTATTTAATTGATTTAATTTTCATAAATTCATTTGAAGAGCTTTATTGATATTTGTATTACCTGCAATTGTCATATTAATAAACGACTCTTTCGATATTTCGATGTATTTATGTCCTATCCCTTTCTTTCTCTCTCTCTCTCTCTCTCTCTTGGAGAAATGCAATTGACAGGACACACTCGGCCTCGACCCACATATACAACGTGTTAATGACGATATAAGCGCATCAATCCATTTCGATTTATTTTTTATCTTTATATCTCGTTTAAATCTATAATATAATACAAACGCGATGATCGATGTTGTCAACTATGTCAACACTTGTTTTATTAACGAAAAAAGTAATGGCTATTTCATTTGGAAAAATGTTTAACGAGTTATTTGCTCAAATATAATTTAAATAGATTTGTTGAATAAATTTTTTCTTCTTTTTACATTTTTATTATCTTCTCGACGACGTTAGGTTTGCAAAAATAGAAAAATATGTTTTCATATCACGCGATTTTCTCGTAAAAGTTTTTTTTCTTCCTCATGTCGTATTATTATATATCGATAAACTTTGAATACTTTGAAGAGATGTAAATTATCTGTCCTATCAAACAAAATAAAATAATTATTCTCCTATTTTTGGAGAAAGAATAATCTCTCTTTTCCATCAATGTAATTTCATTATAACGTTAACATTCGTATTTTAATTAATCGTTAATTAGAATCCAAACGTATCGATTAGTTTCGTTTAATTACGTCGTATCCTTCAACGTAATTGTGCACTGAAGGATAATCGTTAATTAGTTAGATAAGAACCTCGGGCTTTAGTTAATAGACCTATTGTCTTCTTCGATAATATTTTCTTGTTTGTATTGAGAAATTATTTAAATAAAGAAAAGAAATAAATTTTACTAGTGAAATCGTATGAAATTAATGTTGAGTTCATTACGTATATAAAATAAATCGAACCAACAAGTTTTTTTATTTGAATTTAAAAGTAGGCGTAATAAATGAAATTATTTTAAAATAATTTTCTTTTACTAGCATGCTCATCGTAGATTATATTTGAAGATTATTAAAGTAGCTTTTTTAGTATATCAAGACACGCGAGTAAGTTACGTAATATCGTTTCTACTAGCTTATCACGAAATTTAAGAATAAAAGAAGAGGCTTCCTTTATCATGAAAGATAAAGGGCAATGTTTTTCGTTTATGTTAACGTAATAATGAAATCCCTTGTAGAAGTAATTCTCTTCTATAAAATCTTCTTCAAAATCTTCAAAATGTATCATCGTATTCATCCCTCTATCGTATTTTTTTTTATCTTCCTCTTTATTTTTATAGAAATCAAAAATATGTTACATAATATCCTATCAAATATGTACAAGCAAACCCCCTTTCTTTCAAATTTCATTTTTTTTATTTTTTTATTTTTTTTTAATTATTTTTTCGCATATATTGACGTCCTTTTTGTTGCCACGTTGCTAGTCCGTGAAAACAGTATGCGTGTGCGTGTGCGTGTGCGTGTGCGTGTGCGTGTGCGTGGGCCTTTCCCCCATGATTTTTTATTTTTTTTTTCTTCTTCTTCTTCTTCTTCCTCTTCTACTTTTTGGGGTGGAAACGTGCTGTCACGTATATCGATTTGCTTCTTTTTAACAGGACAAACTTAATTTCGCTTGGGCTTTGGCCGGTTACTTTCTTCCTCATGTTTACAAAGTACACACGCACGCACACGTGTATATATATATAGGTGAAAAAATAAAAATTATAAAGAATACGATAGGTTAACGAAAGGTATTTTTTTTTTTTTTCAGGAAAAAGGAAACACAATAAAAAAAAATGTAATTTGTCTTTTTTCGATATACATTTATTACAGATCATTATCATATAAAACACATAAAATATTTAAATAACACTCTGCTATTATTACAAATACATTCTCCAGACAGTTATTACTTATATAGCGTTTTTGTTTTCAACTAAAAATACGCGATCGGCGTTTTAAACGGAAGAGAAGGCACATAGAGTAAAAGTGAATTATTATTTGTAGATCGATAATTAATTTCATTTTATTATATTTTTTTGTATTTTATTTTATTAATAATAAAACAGATAGAATACTCGTAGAAGAAGAACTTTCCTTTATAAGTATTTTTTTCTTTTTTTTTTTTTTTAATTACTTTTCGTATGCTCTAATAGCGCGGAAGAAATTCAACGAAAGAAGTACTTTTGTTCATATTATTTATATAATATGTTATCTTATCATACATCATCTCTTATCAGTAGATAATAATTATATAATTGAACAATCGCGATGATGACTAGCGTGTTTGTTAGACTACAGTGTAAAACATAAAAGCTTGACATAGATAATACATTTCTAATTGGATATTTTTAAATTGCACGTATAATAATAATAATTAGATCGTCATTTTTTTAAATGGAAATTTTTTTCATTTCTAATATACATATATGTTTTGTAAATAATTCGATTATTATCGAAACGTATCAATTATAAACGAATTTACTTGTAGACTTTGTTCGTGAATAATATTACATATATACGCAACGATTCGAAAGGTTGTAAAAAGAAAACTATTATAGCACACTCTACGTCATCATATATCCCTTAAAATAACCCTTAGAGAATTCCTAATATATGTTTCTAGGAAAATACTCCTCTTCCTTTTAATTAACGTCAAGAGACTTCCGAGACTTTTAACAGTATCGATCTCCTACGCCGATAATCGATAATCATTTTCGCGTTAAATGATGGCGAACAAAAGAAAAGAACTTATTAATCTTTAGTTTTGCGTTCAAAGTCTTAATTAAAAAAAAAAAAAAAAAGAAAGAAACCTTGTGTACGAAATCGTATCGATTTTACCCAAATGACACTTAAAAAGTCGATTATTTTCTTCGTTAATAATAATAATAATAATAATAATAATAATAATAATAATAATAATAATAATAATAATAATATATAAGTATATAGAAGAATATCTGATTCGCGATTAATTAAATTTACTTTTTGGGGTTAATTGTTTTAGAAAATTTTTC